AAGTGCCAGTTCCCAGGTGGGGCTCTGCTAGGGTGGGAAGTCAGTGTCTAAGAGTGAGGGCTCAGGGTGGCCAAAGTCAGAGGACAGTCTATGGCTAAAGTCAAAGATTAGTCTGTGGCCAGGGCCAGAGGTCAGCATGTGGCTGCAGTCAGTCTGCAGCAAAGATCAAGAATAGGTCTATAGCCCGGGTCAGGAATAAGCCTATGGACAGGGACAGGAGTCAGACTGTGGCCAGGATTAGAAGTCAGTCTGTGGCCTGAATTAGCGGTCAGTCTGTAGCTGGAGTTAGAGGCCACCCTGTGGTTAGACTCAGGTATCCAACTGGAGCTGGATCAGGAGCTCAGCATTCCTCTCTCTGTGCATCTCTGTCTCTCTTTGACTTGGTCTCCTTCTCTGGAAAGACCTGCTGGAGGCTCAGAACTTGGGCTTATGGGAAGGAGAGAAGTAGAGTCTGGGTAGTGTCCCGTAAGACCATATATGAAGAACATAAAGGGAAAAAGGAAAAAAAAAAAAAAGACTGTCACTAAATGGGGGGCAGGGAGGGAGGGATATATAAACAAGCAAGCATGTGTGTGTATATGTAATATATATTAAGTGAGCAACACATGATACCAAACTCTGCAAATATGTAAACACTGCCTATGCCTATGCCTATGGACAACGTACAGAAGGTAACAGACACGAGTTGACACGATGATGGCATGGGACAACTTTTGTCTTGGATTTCTGTTTCCTCACTCTGTCCTTTTTTGCAGTAAAGTAACCCTAAATATAAAATGTCAGTATTTCTTTAATTATGTTCTATGCCCTCACCTCCCACAACATCCTCAAGCCCATTCAGTACTATAATAAAAACAATGCTAGCAAATACTTGCATAGCATTAACTATGTGCAGGCACCGTTCTAAGTGCCTTGCAGGCATCCACATATTTAATTCTCACAATAGCTCCACAAGGTTGTGTATTATTCCCATTTTATAGATGAGAAAGCAAGCACGGGGAGGTTGTGACTGGTGCTGCATCACACGGCTGGTCCCTGGGGCACCCTGAGTGCCTAATGTATCCTAGACCCTTTGCCACGTACTGGAAGGGGTGGGGGAAATGCAGAGATGAAAGAGAAGTGGGGTTAGGTGGGGGGGAGGGGTCTCCCAAGCCATTTTTTCTGACCAGGGCACGGCCAGGGCCTGGATTTGGACTTGGAACCGCTGGGGCAGATGTGGGCCACCAGGGGGCAGTAGGGACCAAGGAGCAGGTCTCCCTCTCCTTTCCCTCCTCGCCCTCCAGCCACTGATGCCACCCACTCCCTTCTGCAGGCGGATGTTGTTGGCTTGCCCATAAGTATCGTGGAAACGGATGGGATTTTGTGGAAGAAACGGCATCGCCTTGCTACCGTCAGTTAGGCAAATTAATCTCAAGAGCAACTGGACACCACCTGGTTTTCACTCATCATGTACTCTGCTCAAGACCGGGAGGGAAATTGAGGCCAGAGTGGTCAAGTAACTTGCCCACAGTCACACAGCTCCTAATGAGCAGAGGCAGGTTCAAACAGAGGCAGGGCGAGGCCAGAGCCCTTGTTTCTCTGAGTCTCCGTTCTCTAAACTGTAAAGGGGGGGATACGAATATGCGCAAATGGTATACAGGAGCGGTTAGGAGTCAGCCAGACCCACGTTCAAGTTCCAGAGATGCTGCAGGGGGAACTACACATCCATGGCAAGCCCCGCTGGAGCCTTAGAAGGCTGCTGTGAGGGCCCATGAGGTCATGGTCCCTCGCACTGGGGGCTCAAACAGCTTTTGCTGCTTTTGTAAACTAATAATTTTCGTGGGAAAATCATGTCAGAAAGGTTGTTCAACAGGATGTTAACGGAGATACGAATCCTTCAAAACCATTCATTTTATGACCGCCCACTTGGTGCCAGGCGTGGGGGTGCGGATGGGATTTCTGTTGGTTTTCACTTTCCTCTTTCTCTGAATCGGAGAAGGTCGGCACGTGCCAATTGAGTAATCAGAAAAAAAAGCATTTAAAAAAGAAAAGCAGACTCACAGCCCTCCTCCTCGGAAAAACCTCTGTAAAAGCGGGAGCAGGGGCGTGGCTGTGGGGGCTAGGGGACCGGAGAATCAACACCTCCTTCCTAAGGAGGGGTCCGGCCACGCCCAGCCCCTCCTGCGCTGCTACCAGAGACCCCTCCCGCTCTCAGCGCAGCGGGTCCAGCCCCGCGCGGGACGCTGGGAAACTCCCCTCCGCCAGCATCTCGCTCCGCCCACACCCAACGCCTTCTTCCAGCGAGGCGGGGCCTGAGTTGGGCCCACCTGTTCCACCAGACCTCCACACCACTCTGTGGCTCTTGAGGCAAACATTTGGTGCAGTCCGTTCCTCTTCTCTCTTCTTTCATCGTTCCAAATCATTCTCGCCCTTCTCCACGCCCACGCAGTTGATAAAAGTATGTCAGAATAAAGTTATCTAGCCCTGGATGGTTCAATATGGTAGTGACTCTGCCACATGTAGCTATTTAAATTTAAATATTAATTAACTAAATTAAATAAAAATTTAAAATCAGTTCCTCAGTTGCACTAGCCACATTTCAAGGGCTTAATAGCCACAACTGGCTAGTGGCTATCATATTGGACAGAGGGAAACATTTCCATCACAGCAAAAAGTTCCACTGGGCAGCTCTGTTGTAGGCACTCGTTTGTCTTACTATAAAACCCCTTCCTAAGATTAGTGGTTAAGAGCTATGGCTGCTAACCAAAAGGTCGGCAGTTCGAATCCACTAGCTGCTCCTTGGAAACCCAACGGGGCAGTTAGTTCTACTCTGTCTTATAGGGTCGCTAGGAGTCAGAATCGACTCTATGGCAATGGCTTTGGTACTTTTTTTAGTTTAAGATTGTTCTTTGATCCAAGGTTCTCTCTTCCTTCTTTTTCTTTTTTTTTTTAATTCTCTTTCTGCAAATTTAAAACAAAACTTTGATCCACACTCATAATGCCAAAGGTCACCTCTCTTGGAAGAGTTACTCAATAAATACTGGAATGAAGGAGCTGAGGGCTGAGAGGTCATAAGCCAGAGAGGATGGGGGACTTGGAGAGGGCACAGGCTGGGGAGTTCCCACATCAGGATTAGCCGAAGGTAGCAGGGGAGCATTAGAGGCGAAGCCAGGCAGGTTTCCCGGAAGCCCAGAGCAGTGACCACACTGAGAGTTCTAGATTTCTAAGCTGTTAGTACCGTTTTACTCTCACCACCTGTGCGCCTGCCAGGAGGCCATCCAAGAGAGGATGAGACAAAGATAATAAGGACTATCTTCAGGACAACCCTGCAATGCAAATTTTTATCATTACCCTTCCCATTCTACAAATGATAAAACTGAAGCACCAGGAAGATGGTGGGGACAGAGATCCAGAGAAGCAGTCTGGGGCTTCACACCCCAAAGGAGACCAGTGCATGGGCAGGCGAGGACCAGATTTTAGTGGGATAAAATAGTCCATCAATCAATTCTGTGAACATGCCAAGCTCCTTGTGCCTCAGGACCTTTGCACTTGCTTCTTCCAGTCATTGAGGGCTCAGCTCAAATGTCAGCTCCTCAAAGACCTTCCTGAGTACCTTGTTAGTGCCCCATGTCTCAGACCCCTATTTGCTTTCTTCATATCACCCTTCAGTTGGGAACTTTTCCTATTACTTGCTTAGTGTCTGTCTCCCCCACTGGACTGCACAACCCAGAAGGGCAGGGACTTCACTTGTCTCACTCACAGGCGTTTCCCAGCACCTGGCACAGTGCCTGGCATAGTAGGTGCTCAATAAATAGTGATGGGGTGTGTGACTTCCTTGCTTTCTCTGCTTTTTCTTTCCATGTATTAAGCTGGGGAGGCAGGACGATAGGCCAGTGTTTCAACAGCTTCCCTGAGACTGGAATTAATGTTGGTTTAAATCTGAGCAGAAAGTGGGAAGCATCTCTGTCTAGTTCTCCATTCCTGCTTCCCAGCACTCACACAGCCAATTCTATAGCAGGAGCCTCAGCTGACTGGTTGGGTCTTTCTCAGGAGGTCCTGGAACAAGAATAATGAGCCAGGGCTCAATGCTGTCTCCAGCTCCCGGCTGAGCTGCATCTCCACCACTCACAATAATTTATCTTCCCTCTTTGCTGCCAAATTTTTTAATTGGATTTTCTGGGACATCCTCAGGCAAAGTTAGGGCTAACATCTAAGTAGGCACCATGCTATATACAAGACGGCATACCAGGGTGGCTGGAAGCTCTGCAGTCAGACCTGGGTTGAAATTCTGACGCCATGACTTCCTAGCTACGTGACCTAAGCTAATCCTCAACCTCTCTGGGCTGGTTTCCTCATCTGTACAGCTGGAATATAGCAGCCTCCCCTTATCCACAGGGGATATGTTCCAAGACCCCCAGTGGATGCCTGAAACCACAGATAGTACCAAACCCTACATATACTATGTCTTTTCCTATACATACACACCTGTGATAAAGTATAATTTATAAAGAAGGCACAGTAAGAGATTAACAACAATAACTAATAAAATAGAGGCATTCTATGGCTTCTCTTTGGCATATCCGAATTGCCAACATCACTACTCTTGCACTGTGGGGCTATTATTAAGTAAAATAAGGGTTACCTGAACACAAGCATCACGGACCACAGTTGACCGCAGGTAACTGAAACCTTGGAAAGCAAAACTGTGGATAAGGGCAGGGGGGGACTACTGATAAACGAACCTGCCTCCTAGAGCTGTTGAGAGGCATAAATGTCATAGTGGATTTATAACATTTAGCATGTTGCTTGGCCCTAAATTGTTATATTTGTAATAAATTATTATATTTTTTGTGAAGAGCTCTAACCTCAGAGACAAAAGGTCCAGAGGCCAGTTCAGGCTCTGCCATTCACTATGTGACCTTGGTAAGTCCCTTTCCCTCTCTAGAGCTATGTTTTCCCATCTATAAACTGTGGGGGGTGGGGTGGGGTGGGGTGGTGGCTTGGTCTCTTCTAACACGGACAAGAGTGAGCAGCTAAAGGGACAGATTAGATTTGGGCTGAGCACAAAGGAGGCATTTCCAAGACCCATCAGGCTGCGTGTGAAGTGGTGAGCCCCTCACCACTTCTAGTGTATTATGCAGTACACCAGAACAGGAAGGAGCCTCAAACAGCCACGTGTAGAAGTAGGAGCAGCTACTCAGAGACACAGTGATCACAGGCCTAGGGACTTAAGGTCCCTTGTCCCTACAACCCCCCATCTGAGGCCCATCCCATCTCACTGTCCAATGTCAAGCTCAGGCCAACTACAGACCTACAGAGGGTGTGAGCAATGGGGACACAAAAGGGTTCAGCTACTGGCCTGCCACGAACCAGCTGTGTGACCCTGCCGAAGTGCAGCAGCCGCTGTCGCTGCCCTGTGCAGCTCCCCTGCTCAAATGTCTTCACCTCTCAGTCCAGGGACTTTGCCTGGAGTAGCCAGGGTGCAGGCAAGCTGCAGTGTGGAGCAGCCCTCAACCAGCACCAGCCGGGGAGCTGGGGAACACATGCCCCACCCAGCTCCCTCACCCTTTGCGCTCTGGGCATCGTTTCCCAGAGTTCCTCATTGGGATACAGCATCAGCTGCCACACTGGTAACCTGTCCGTAACACATCCTTTCCTGACTCCTTCCTCTCTGTCTCACTTCCCTGCTCCCCCTCCAGGGCTTCCTGGGATCACCTCCTAAATCAAACTGCACTGGGATCCTAGCTGTGTGACTCTAAGCTAATCCTCAACCTTTCTGAGCCGGGTTCCTCATCTGTGCAACTGGAATAATAAATGAACCTACCTCTTAGAGGGGTTGGGAGGCATACATGACATAGTGGATGTACAGCATTTAGCATGTTGTTTGGCCCTAAATCGATATTTTTATAGTAAATTATATGATATTTTTTATAAAGAGCTCTAACCTTGGAGGCAAAACGTCCAAGTTCAGGCTCTGCCATTCACCGTGTGACCTTGGCAAGTCCCCTTCCTTCCGTAGAGCTACATTTTCCCGTCTGTAAACCACGTGTGTGTGGTGGGGAGGGGGAGCTTGGTCTCGGGGAAATCCAGACAGCAAGTAACTTCATCTCTTGCATCTTCATTCCTCACATGGTTGATGGGGGGATGAAATGAGTCCGTAGATGTAAAGCACTAGGTTTGCTTAATAAACAAAAACAAACAGATCAAGAGCCTTTATTTACTGCAAAGCCCCGTCCCCCTCCCACTCACCCTCCTCAGGTGATAAAACAGTCTTTTAGACTCACTTAAACACTGCTCCACCCAAGGTCCCCGCCATCCCCAGCCCAAGTCTGGGCCAATGTGCAGGCTGAGTGGTGCCTGCCATCTGCGTGGCCTACTGGAGCAGTGTCACGGGCAGGAACCACTCCCTGCTGGTCTCCGTGTGGCTGCTGGCCTCAAGGTCGCAGGGCACATTTATCCGATACCCCGTGTTTAGCAGGAGACCCGGCCTGACAGTCGTGCTTCGGAGCCTGATGCACACCGTGTGACTTTGGTAATCATGATTTTCCGCATACTTCTGCCACCAGTGCAAGGCACAGTGGTTACGAGCCCAGCTGCTAACCAAAAGGTCGGCAGTTCGAATCCACCAGCCGCTCCTTGAAAACCCTATGGGGCACTTCTGCTCTGTCGTGTAGGTTCACTATGAATCGGAATCAACTCGATGGCAACGGGTGTTCTGTCACCTCCACTTGACTAAGTGTGGCTCGAGAGCCCAGATTCTGCCTCCAGCATCGACCCAGTGAAGCTCTGCTGAATGAATGGCCACCTCTGGGCAGTGGCCACTCTCCCTGGACCTCACGTTCCCATCTATTTCCCAACGTCTCCCTGTTTGGCTTTGTTAGTTTCTAGACTCAGCTTCCAATGCAGTGAAATGTGGCAGCAAACCCCAGGACTGCGTGAGACATGGTGACAGAGTGGAGCCGCGTGTGGAGTGTGTCCACTGGGCAGGACAAGGACCCACAGCTGCGGAAGCCATGGAAGAAGGACTCAGTGGTTTGCTCACAAGTCACGGTACCCAGGGACCTCATGAGCGAAGTTAAGTCCTGTAGGTGTCCGCTGTGTGGCCCAGCTGCCCAGTGCCCTGCACTCCAGGGGAAGTGGCTACAGGGCCTTGTGGCAAGCCCAGGCTCACGTTGGGAGGGGGTCTAGTCTCTGTAGTCCCCATGTTGGGACAACTTCACACTAGGGTTCTCTCAGTCTTCCAGAAATCTGCCAGTCTGGCTACCTTCCAGGCAGAGGCCTTTCCCAGGCATGGATAAGCCCCAGCCCTCACGTGGGATCCTCAATGACAGGCGGCACACACCTAGGTCACCCTCATGCACGGGGGTTCTGTGGAGGCCATGGCCACCATCTTGGGTGGCTGGCCTGAGCTCTGAGCATTGCTGAGGGCAGGCTGAATCGACAGTGAGGACTTACTCTCCTCTGAGACATCCAAGGGAGTTGGGGATGCTGAAGAGAGGCTGGCCTCCAGTCGAAGCCCACCTGGCAAGGGGTCCGGAGCCCTCAGGGGGCTCAGCAAAGGTGAGGACCTGTCTCCACAGCAGCAGTCACAGCAGGGGCCGGCCACAGTGTAGGCCTCGCCATGCTCCTCCTGGCTATGACACTGCTTCAGGTGGCCACACAGGTGGCAGGTGAGGGCTGAGTAGACGATGCCACTGCCCAGGTCGTCCCTGAGGGGGTCTGTGGCCTGCTCTGAGGGGAGCGGGGGCTTCTGGCCGTCCTCTCCCTTCAGCACTGGCCCCAGACTGAGGTGCTCTGGGGAAGCGCTTGGGAAGAGTGAGCTCTGCAGGCTGTGAGGGGGCTCCATGTCCAGTCCAAAGGTGAACTGGGGGACCAGGCCTGGGCCAGAGGCCTCAGGGCAGCCTGGAAGGAGGTTCTGGAAGGGCTTGTAGCCCCCCTCCCTACTGCTGGCCTCAACCCTACATATTCCCGGGCAGGTGGCACCGTTGGCAAGCAGGCTTGAGAAGGCCTTATACCCAGCCTCTCCGGGAGGGCTGAAGCCCACTGCCTGGCCATCCTGGGTGCTACCCTGCTTCACAGCACTCACAAATTCCCGATAGCCACTGATGGGGACCGAGGCGGGGGCCAGGGCTGCCCTGCTGGCAGGCGCCAAGGCAGGGGCTGGGGCTGCCCCATGCTGGAGGACACTCTGGCGGAGAATCTGTTCCCAGGTCTCCAGCCCCGGCTGGAGCGAGGTAGGCTGCTCCAAAGGCTGGGGGGCACAGGAGGCCTGGGAGTCCACTTTCCCCAGGTGCTCAGCCAGCTGCAGGTCTGAGTCCAGCTCTCCAGGGCCTGGGGACTGGCTTAGGAAAGTGCCGAGGCTGCGGTACACGGGGTCGTCTGCGATGACAGCAGGCATCTCTGTGAAAGCCTGGCTGGTCAACTCCGGCTCCTTGCCTTGCAGAGTTGCCTCCTTGGGCTCTGTACTTGGGACCTCCACCCAGGGCATCTGAGTATTCCTGCTTCCTGATGGTGGAGACAGCAAAGACTCTCCCAAGCCCTGTGGGCCAAAGACCCCATCCTGCCCCCCGAGGAGGTCCAGGAACAGGCTCTCTGTCAGCCGGGCCGCAATGCCCTCCCTGCCCTCTTGGAAGCTGACCCCACTGCTCTCAGGAGAAGGGCAGAAGCTCCCTTTATCTTCCTCTACTTCCTCCTCCTCGCCCTCCACCTGAGCCTCAAACAGCTCCACACACTGCACCACGTTGGTGCTCTCTGGCCAGAGCACTGTCTTGCTGAGCTCCGCAGAGCACCAGGCTGACTTTCCAGGGCCCTGGAAAGGCCCATGTCCGGCAGCCTTGGGGGAATCCTCGTCCCTTTCCTTCTTATGCTCCAGAAAACAGGGCAGGAGCTTGGTAAGACAAGTCTTCCAGCGTCTGTAAAAGCAAACACAAGTTTGGTCAAAGCTTGGTTTCTCCTCTTGGAAAACTCCTACTCATCCTTCAAAGCCGGGCTTGAAATCACCTGTACTGATGTCTCTCTATTGCAGACATGCCTCCTGATTTTATAATCAATAATCTATTGGTCTACCTTCACTACTAGCCTAGGAACTCCTTGAGGGCAGGGATAATGTCTTACTGTGAGATTTCTAGAGCCCAGCACGTGGCCTGGCACTTACTCCAAACTCAGTCTATTGAGTAAAATAAGTCTTTATCAGGGATGATGATATTTCAAATGCTTGCCGACACCATAACATAAGCAATGACCAGTTAGAACAGACGTGGGGCCTGAGGGCTGGAGCAGGGTTCTGGAGCCCTCTACTGAATCAGGTAGAAGCCCGTTATTTACTGGATTGTGGGCAGATCCAGGACATCCTCAGGGAGGAGCAAGGGAAGCCAAGGTGGTAGTGGGACACTGGAGGTGTTAGGACAGGGGCTATTTGCCAACCAGTATGCAGTTACATCAGTATTTTAACAACTGCACAGCTGCGCTGGTTAACTCTATCAGCCCTGCTCAGGCCAGGCTGGGCACCCCTAAGGACTGACCCTCTCCCCAAGGGGTTCAACACGTGCCAGACCCACAAATGAAACAGGCCTCTGCCAGCAGCCAACCTACCTAGAAGCCCCTCCTCCTCCCACACCTCGCAGCCCAGTGTCCCAGGACAACTGCCAGACACCAGGGATGAGAGGGCAGATGTGGAGGCGTGGTGACCCAGCTCAAGATGGGCCCACTGTTCCACTTCTATCTCAGAATCTACTCAGGCTACAACCTAAGTTCATATACATACGGGCACTTGGCTGGTTTCTGGCCTCGGGACGGCTTCCCCCATAGCGACACCTAAAACAGAGACAGCCAGTGAAACAGCGCTGAGTGACCTCCAGCCTAGCCTGGCACACAGAAGTGCTCAGGAAATGTTTGTGGTGGAGTGTAAGCCTTAGTGTTGACAGGTCTGAGCTCAAACCGTTCACTTTAGCTCTCTGAGCCTCGGTTTCTTGATTGGTAAAGTGGGGCTAACCCAGCCCTCCTGGGGTGGCGGTGGGGAGCTCTGAGAATTAATGCCATTGCCCTACTATTAACAGGTACTGATGTGGCAAAATGGCCACAATACTTGCAGCTCTTCCCACCCCTTGAATCAGGCCTGGCCCTCTGACTTGCTTTAACCAACACACTGAGGTGGAAGTGACGGTGGGCTAGCTCTGGGCCTAGGCCTCAAAAGGCCTCGCAGCTTCCCACCCATGATACCGAGCCTGAGCTAGCCTGTGGAGGATGAGACCCACGGCTTGGTCACCTCCACCTGAGCTAGCCTGCTGGAGGACAAGACCCACGGCTCAGTCACCTCCACATGAGCTAGCCTGCTGGAGCCAAAGACCATGGCTCAGTTACATCTACTGTTCCAGCTGGAAGTCCACCAACTGCCAGACTATGAGTGAGCCACTGGGGACGGGCCAGTTAGGCAAGATCTGCCCAGACCAGCCCAGAAACCCTGTCCCCTCCCCACATCCTGCCCTGCTCCCCCTCTGCCCAGCCCAGATCAGAATCTCCCTGCTGAGCCCACCCAGACTCCCCTTACCCTGAGCCCAGCCCAGAATCCTCCACCCCTGTTAAGCCCAGGCCGAACTGCCCACCTGCAGAAGCAGGAGCTGAATAAATGATTGTTGTTTTAAGCCTCTAAATTTTGGAGTGATTGTTACATGGCAAGACCTAACTGATCGATCAATGGCACCATGTGCAGGGTCCTTTAATATGCACCTTGTGTGGAATCTCTCAATGAATCCCAACACCTGCCCTCACATTTTAATCATGAAGAAAGCGAGCCTCAGAGAAGTTAAGCAACTTGCTCAAGTCCACACTGCAGGTAAGTGGCAGAGGCAGGATTCTAAGTTAGCCCCACTGGACTCCAGAACCTCTAGAGTTCCTAGAGAATAGAAGACACACGGCCCTTCTGTTCTCGGCTGTGCTTGTATTTCCCCCCTTCTTCCTACAGAACCTTGACATTACTCAGGTAAACCCCATCCACACACACAGCCAGTGCCCTGGAGAAGCTGACCCCACCCCCAGCTCAGGGGAGGCCACCTGCAGGTCTCAAGGTATTCCCGCCGCCTTGCTGGCTGGTTTAGGAAAGAGCATGTGATAAATTCAGGCCAGTGAGAACTCAGGAGATCTGTTGGTGCTTTGGAGCCCTGGTGGTGCAGTGGTTAAGTGGCCGGCTGCTAACCAAAAGGTCAGCGGTTCAAAGCCACCAGCCACTCCATTGGAGAAAGATGTAGCGGTCTGCTTCCATAAAGACTGCAGCCTTAGAAACCCTATGGGGCAGTTCTACTCTGTCCTACAGAGTTGCTAGGAGTTGGAATCGACTCAGTGGCAATGAGTTTGGGTTTGGTTAGGTTTGAAGGGAGGCCCTGATGCTTTAGAGAAGCTGGCACCTCTCAAAGATTCTAGGGACCTGCTTTCCTCTCTTCCATCTTCTCTTGAGTTGGCCTCCTGTTCTGGGATGGCCCCACTCACCACCCACCAGGCTCCAGCCTGCTGCAGTCTGTTGATCCTAATCCTGAGTCGTACCCTGTTACTTTCTTAATAAACCACTTAACTGTGCGTATGGTCTGTGAGTTCTGTGTGGCCAATGCAATGGATTACTGAACCCAGAAGAGGAGTTGAGGGTGCCACCGGAGGGATAACTGGTGTCGGAATTTGTAAAAAAGTTAGAGCATGGAGGTATGTCTGACCTCCGCCTCATGGGAATCAGCTTTGTGCTGATCCTGGTCACTGATGCTCCTGAAGTTAGACAGGTTCTGATGCTACTACTACTATCCTTTCACCAGAGGGAAAAGCCAGGAGATCAACCTAGACGAATCTACCGCAGACTGGAACTGTAGCCAGGGAAGCAGAGTGGAGGGGAGTGAAAGACTGCGGGCACTTAACAATCACATTAAGCTGCTGAATCAGCCTACCCAGAGACCGTCCTAACTTCTCATTGCTAATTTCAAAAGCCAATGAATTTCCTTAACATCCCAGCTATTTTAAATCACATTTCCTGATACACACAGTCAAAAGCATCCTCACCAACATACTCTCCTACCTGTGAGTCCTGGATGATGATAGCTATGAGGGGACTGTGGGCTGGGTTGGGAATCTGGTCCCACCATTCTTTCTTAATCCTGAAAAACAAGAAGAAATGGTGTTGGTCTCCAAACCACTGACAGGTTGACACTCTTCCCACAAAAATTATCATAGTTGCTAAGACTTGGTCAGCACTAGATACTATGCTGATTGGTGGTGGGATGTAAATCCACTGAACCCTCACAATAACCCTATCAAATGGATTCTATTGTTAACCCCATCCTACAGAAGAGGAGACTGAGGCACAGGGAGGTGAAGTGACAGCTGGTAGGTAGCAGAGCTGGGAACATGCCCCAGCGTTCTGCTACCCAGAATGGCGTTCCTGACATGGCCGCTTCTGTCCCCAGTGGGAATGAGGCCTCAAACCCTACAGTCAGCCCAAAGAAATTAGGAGTGACTCAAGCTGCAGAGACAGAATTCTAGGTTTCTCCATCACCAACGCCCTCTCTGGAGTAGAGGGCAAGGTGCCAGAGAGAGGGCTGGAATGCCCTGGGAAGCTGAGGGGGACCCTTAGAGAAACAGCCCTGGGCCTGCCTGGAGCCACCAAGCATCATGCTGGGAGGGAAGATCCGCCTCTGGGTTAGCCTCCATCCACTATATCCAGTCTTTCAATACGTGTTTATGAGCACCTACTATGTTTCACTCACTGTGCCAGCCCCTGGGAACACAACAGAGAGCAGGGAAAACCCCCGCCCTCACGGAGCTGACATTCTAGAGGGGGAAACAGACTACAAACAGACACAGAAAGAATGATGTGACAGCGTTCATTCCTGGCAATAAGGGCCATGAATAAAAATAAAGATAAAAATAAAGATAAGGGACAGTGAGTTTATGTCAACGGGAAAAGAATAATTCAGAAAAGGAGGGTGAAAATGGCTGCACAGCTTGAAGAACGTGACCAATGTCATTGAACTGAACATGTAGAAATTGGGCAATCGGTGTGCATTCTGCTGTGTGTGTTCTCAACAGCAACAGATAAAAGAAAGTACTTTAAAAAATAAACTAAAGATAGGGGGTAGAGAGGAATGAGGAGTATGGTCGGGGAAGGCCTCCCTGACCCTGAGGAGGTGACCTCTGAGCAGCCACTGAATGCGGTGAAGAAGTGAGCCACAGCCATACCTGGGGAAAAAGCTTTCCAGGCAGGGACACAGAAGTGCAAAGGCCCTGAAGTGAGAATTTGTTAGATGTGTGCAAAGAACAGCAAGGAGGCTGGAGTGCTGGAACGCAGTGAGTGCGGATGGGAAGTGACAGGTGGTGGAGAGTCAGCCCCTTATGACTGATGAAATATGTTCTCCCCGCTGCTCTCAGCCTGCAGGGCAAACGCTGGGACATTGCCGTTCCGATTTCGGAGGAGGATCCCAAGGCTCAGGGAGGCTCGGTGGCTTGGCAGGCACACAGCTGCCAGGGATCAAGGCCAGGATTCAGACACAGGTCCCCTGACTCCATCAGGACAATTGTCAAGGACTCCTGTCTCCTGCCACGTGCCCCAAGTCCTGGCTTCTCCCTGGACCACCCCTGGGTACCCTGGGGGATAAGGGGACACAGGAAAACTCCAGTTCCCTTGTGCCAAAGGCAGGTCCTTCCCAGGTCTCCCCCAGCCGCTACTACTCCCCAGTCAGGCCTCTGCTCAAATATCCCTCTTCAGAGACACCCACCCTGGCTCCCCATCCAAAATAAAACAAAAAACCAAATGTGTTGCCGAAGGGTAGATTCCAACTGCTAGTGACCCTATAGGGCAGAGGAAAACTGCCCCACAGGGTTTCCATGGCTGTAAATCTTTACAGAAGCAGACTGCCACATCTTTCTCCCACAGAGCAGCTGGTGGGTTCCAACCATCGACCTTTTGGTTAGCAGACGAGTGCTTAACCCCTGTGCCACTAGGGCTCCTCCCATCCAAAATAGTGCCCCCAAAACATCTCTCCCCCTCCTCCTGGTATACCTCCTTCGAAGCATGGATCATTACAGAAAATCATCTTAGTCACTTGTTGACTTGGCACCTTCTGTCTCCTCCCTAGGAGGCAGGGTCTTGTTCTCAGCTCTAGCTCCAATGCCTTGCACATAGTAGGTGCTCAATAAATCTTTACTGCTGAATGAAAGGACCACGAGCTGACAGATTAGAAAAGGAATTCCTTCTTGGAGCCAGTGGGGAGAACAGCCCTTCCTTCCCACTCCCCCACTCCCCACTCTAGAGAGGCAGCTTGGCGGCCCCCATGCTGAAGCCCACCAGGACTCACCTGATGATGATGAAGTAGCAGGACAGACAGATGGCCAGGATGACGATGCAGGAGATGCTGACACTAAGCGGGAGGCCCTGCACCAGTGGCTTCTTGTAGTCTGGAAGCGAGAGGGGAACTATGAGGGCTGTGCCCCACAACAGCCCGGCCTCAGCTTCATGGGCTGGAGACCCTCAGTGATCCCACCAACCAGCCCTCCCACCACATCTCCTTTTCCCGCCCTCCTGCTCACACTGGTCTCCTGGCTGTGCCCCGACCCTCCAGCTCAGCGCCATCTCAGGACCTTGGACTTGCTGGGCTCTCCTGCCTAAACCATGGATGGAGGTTAAGCTCACAGACCTGGAGCCCGACTTTCTGAGTTCAAAGCCTGATTCTGTCATATCCTTGCTGCGTGACCTACAAGTCCTATTATGGACTGAACTGTGTCCTCCCAAAACATGTGCTGGAATCCTAACCAACCTCCCTAAACCTGCGCATGTAATCCCATTGGGGAATAGGCTTTCCTTTATGTTAATGAGACCACATCCTTGTAGGGTGTGTCCTACACTAATCACTTGTGAGTTTAAAAAGAGCAGATGAGATACAGAAAGAAACCCAAACCAATCCCGTTGCAGTTCAGTCGAGTCTGACTCATAGTGACCTTATAGGACAGAGTAGAACTGCCCCACAGGGTTTCCAAGGAGCGGCTGGCGAATTCGAACTGCTGACCTTTTGGTTAGCAGCTGTAGCTCTTAACCACTATGCCACCAGGGTTTCCATTAGACACAGAAGGGGACAACACAAAAAAGGGTAAGAGGGATAACTGCCACATGAAGATCACCACGGAACCAAGGAACACCAGGGCTACAGAAGGTAAAAGAGGCAAGGATCTTCCCTCAGAGCCAACAGAGAGAGAGGCTTCCCCTATAGCCGGTGCCTTGAATTTGGACTTCTAGCCTCCCAAACTGTGAGAATTCCCTTAACCTCTCTGTGCCTCAGTTTCTCATCTGTACAGTGGGTTAATAATACTGCTTCTCTCATAAGGTTGGTGTGAGGATTACATGATTTAATATGCAATGCACTCAGAACAGTGCCCGCACATTCCCTAAGCATCGCTGTTATCATCTTAACGTGGCTGGTTCCTTCTCCAAGTTCACTTCATTGTCACCTGCTCCAAGAAGTTGCCCCTGACACCCTCTTACTGTTGCCCACTTCCATCACTCCCTCTCCTTACCCTGACTGATTTTCTTCCCAGAGCTTACTGTCTTCTAGGTCTGACTGACTTCTTTACTTGTTTCTTTTCTATCTCCCCCCTCCAAAATGGCAGCTCCACAAGGGTGGGGAGTTTTGTCTGTTTTCTTCTCTGTTGGCTCCCCAGTGTCTACTGCAGGGCCAGGCACATAGTAGGAACTCGATAAACAGTTGTTAGAATAAATAATGAGCGTCCAGCACATTGTACCTGTTCACGGTATCACCATCCCTTTCTCCAGGTCAATGGCAGAATTCAATCCGTTTGACAAACTTCCCCAAGCACCTACTGTGTGCCTGACCCTGTGCTGGGCACTGGAGCTATCGACACAGAGAAGATACTGCCCTAAGGAGCTTGAAGCCCAGAGTGGGAGAAAGACAGGTCAACAGATAACCACAGTACAAGATAAGCAATGCTGAGAGGGTCATGTAAGAGGGTCAGGGTAACTGCCAACCCTGCTGTGTCCAGCACTTTAAAGATTCCTTCTTTCGACCAGACTTAATGGTCTGACTGAGACTGGAGGAACCCCAGAAAGCATGGCCCCCGGATTCTCTATCAGCCCAGAACTAAAACAATTTCTGAGGCCAACTCTTCAGACAGGGATTGGACTGGATTGTGGGTCACTTTGTGACTCACACTCGTGAGGAGTGTGCCTCTTAGCTCAATTAGATAGAAGACACTAAATGGGCAGCTTCTGTCCGGAGATGAAATGGGAAGGCAGAGAGGGTTAGGGGCTGGTTGAATGGACACGGGGAATCAGGGATGGAAAGGAGGACTGTGCTGTCACAGCACGGGGAGAGCAATTAGAGTCACATTACAATGTATGTATAAATTTTTGTATGGGAAAAAATAAAAATAAAATAAATTAATTAAAAAAAAAAGATTCCTTCTTTCATTGAATTTTCATAACAGCCTTAGTCCTCCCCATTGTACAGATGATGACTGACGCAGCCTGCCCTACCCAACAGCCATTTCCCCTTCTTTTTTCCTAGGCAGCAATGTGCCCACTCTGAGGCTTGGGCCAGTCATGATTCTCATTTCTTTTCTAGACATTTGAGTTCCCAGCCTCTCTTGCAGTTAGGACAGGTCATGTGAAGAGTACCTGCCAATGAGGTGTAAGGGAAAGTCTGCTAGGGAAGCTTCCAGAAAGACTTTTACTTCCAGATAGAAGAGAGAGATGCACGAGGTGCACTCCTGCATGGCAGCTGTCTTAGGCATCTAGTGCTGCTGTAACAGAAATACCACAAGTGGACAGCTTTAACAAACAGAAGTTTATTCTCTCACAGTCTAGTAGGCTAGACGTCTGAATTCAGGGTACCAGCTCCAGGGGAAGGCTTTCTCTCTCTGTTGGCTCCAGGGGAAGGTCCTTGTCATCAATCTTCCCCTGGTCTAGGAGCTTCTCTGTGTAGGAACGCCTGGTCCAAAGGACATGTTCTAGTCCCAGCACTGCTTTCTTGGTATGAGGCCCCCGTCTCTCTGCTGGCTTCTCTTATATCCCAAAAGAGATTGGCTTAAGTTGTAGATTAACCTTGTAGATTGAGTCTACATAACTGCCATGAATAACATCTCATTAACATCATAGAGATAGGATTTACAACACATAGGAAAATCTCATCAGAAGACAAAATGGTGGACAATCACACAGTACTGGAAATCATGACCCAGCCAAGTTGACAGATATTTTGGGGGACACAATTCAATCTATGACAGCAGCCTTTCCTTTCCTTCCTAATCTGGGTCCTGGTACGTGAGGGTGTGTGTATCAGGAGACTCGGGGCCATGCCAAGGACAGCAGAAGGGAAGAAGGGAAGACTCTGGGGTGACACCACTGAGTTGGGATGGGCCCCAGGAAGGTCCACTTGTAAGACTTCATGTTATGTGAGATAATTCAATATTTCTATTATAAATGCCATGTGTGGCAGAGTTGTAAAGAGTTCTTTCTGGGACGCAGCTGCCAAGTTAAGGACTACATTTCCCATCACCCCTTGTAGCTATGTGTGGCCATGTGACCAGTCTTCACCCACAGAACTTGTATCACTTCTGGGCTAAGGCTTTAAAAAGCAGGTGTGGTCTCCAGGCTTTCTTTCCCTTTTGGCTGGCTGGATGCAGATAACGGGAGGCCCTAGAGCAGGGATTCTTAACTTGGGGTCCACAAACCTCCAACAAGGTCGTAGATAGAATTCAGGGGCCTGGGAACTTGGATGGGAAAGAAATTACATCATTATTTCCACTAACCTCTAACTGACATCTAGCATTTCCTTCCATTAGGAATGAGGGGGCAAACCACACTAATGGCAGCATCAGTGACTCTGTCACCAATAGAAATCACAGCTATCTTCACATCACATCAGTCGCAGACGTCATTTATGCTTATCTACTTTGAAATTAAGTATTGATGAGATCTCCCACTAGATCTTGTTATGTAATGTGTTAACAATGAAGCACATCTATTTCTAGATAACAAATTGTGTTTAAAAATATTTTATAACTGCATTTCAATACAATTAGTTTCCTTTATAATCCTATGTATTTTATTTTATGCATTTAAAAACATTATTCTGAGATGGGGTTCATAGGCTTCACCAGACTGTCAAAGGAGTCCATAACACAAAAAAGGTTAAAAAATTTTTGCCCTGGTGAATGATGGAGCCTCGAAGATGGATGGAACTCCAGTCACCAAGTCACCACAGGGGGGAAAGCCACCCACAAACTAGTAACATTCACACTGGACTGTTAACTTGAGCAAGAAATACAACTTCTATTGTGTTAAGCCACTGAAATTGTGGGCTTGTTTGTTACTGCTGCCTAGTCTACCTACTCTAACTGATACACCACATCAGTCAGTAAGTAATTCTGTTATTTGAAGTTAGAGGCATCCTATGAAATGGAAATCAGAGGCTCTGCCAGGGGAAGGGTCTGGCCATAGACTGAAAAGGCAGGGCTGCAATCCTATGCTCAGGACTCCTGATACTCACAGTTGTACCATGCGTTGCTGTGGCTCCACTCACTCCAGGTACTGTTATACCCCTGAGCCAGGGCCTTCACTGACGCTCTGTAGAAGGCTCCAGACTTTAGGGACCTGGCTGGCAGGTGAAGGAAGGGTTCCTTATAGGTCACCTCTTGGACTTTGAACTGGTAGAGGAAAGGGAGACGTTAGTGCACCAGCTAGGGGAGGGGACATCAGCTTCCACCCTGGCTGCTGTCCTTGGCTGACCCCACAATGTTTAAGAGCCATATGGTTGTTCCCCTGACTTGGGTCTTTGCTTGCCACCTCCATAATAGTGACCAGAGTAGAGCAAGGTAGTGAGGGCATCAGCCCTCACCCTGGCTCCCCCACTGATTAGCTGTATTATGTCACTCTGGCAAGTTGATTAACCTTTCTGAATTTTAATTTCTTCATCTGTAAAATGAGAATAAGAAGAGTCCCTACTGCTGCTTTCTGGGTGTGTGACCTTAGGCAAGTGCCACAACCTCTCTGGGCCTTCATGTCCTCTTCTGCAAAATGGGAATAATAAAGGTGGCTACCTCTCATTAACCCATTAAATAAATAAACAAACCCATTTAATAAAGCCACTTTTATTAAATGGGTTAATGCAGGGAAGCCCTTTAGAATAGGACCTGGCACACAGGAAGTACCAGTATGATCTTTCTGAAGTGCAGAGAGAGCCAGCACGTCCCTCTCGATCCTTCATGGGCTCTCCAGCACCAACGCCAGGCCCAAAGTCACTGACCTGGACTCGAAGGCCCTGCCCAACTAGCCTCACCTGGGATGCGACTGCCAAGATCTAGTGTTAAGTGAAAGGGTAAGATTCAGAATAGCATGTGTTGTCTGCTACCTTTTATGTTGAAAAGAAGAAAAGGAGGAGGCATAGTGATTGAGGCTGATGGATTCTAAGATGGTCCCATGATCCCCGCCTTGTATCACGCCCTCCTAGGTGTAGACAGGACCTGTGGCTTGCTTCTAACCAGGAGAATACAGCAAAGGCGATGGGTGTATGGATTACGAGTGTGTGATTGCATCACATCAGACTACAATGTCCACCTTGCTAGCAGACTCCCTCCCTGGCTGGCCTTGAAAAGGCCACATGGCAAGGTACTGAGGACAGCCTCTGGCCAATGGCCAGCAAGAAACAGAGCCTCCCTGTCCAATGAGCCACCAGGAACTGGATCCTGCCAACAACTACGTGAGCTTCGAAGTGAGTCCTTCCCCAGGAGAGCCTCAGATGAGACTGCAGCCCCAGGTGACACCTTGATCACTGCCCTCAAGGCCCTAAAGCAGAGAGCCCATTGAAGCCAGGCCAGGCTCCTGGCCCACAGACACCATGAGATAATAAATGTGTGTTGTTTAAAGCTGCTAAGCTTGTGCTAGTATTATTATGCAGCAACAGAACAGTGATGAACACAGCGATGAACCCACAGTGATGAACACACACACACACTCGCTAGTAGAGGCACAAACTCTCTGGAAAGACACCCATGCTCCCACGCCCTCTGCTTGCTCCATCCCTGCCTTCTTTTCCCTCCTGGCCAGAGAAGGCAGCAGAGGTCAACCTCTAGGAAAGGGAACTGGAGGATGGGGCTAAGAGGGGAACATATTTTCATTCTATACCCTTTTGTACCATGTAAATTTTTACTTCGTGTAAATACTACCTTTACCAAAAAAAAAAATTTTTTTGTAAGTGAAAAATGAAATAAATGCCATGTTCACTATTGATCCTGAGAGCAAGTCAGTGGCCTGAAGCCTCTGCCTGTAAGGCCTCTCCCTGAGAGATCCAGTCCTTTGCAGGCTCGTTCTCCCGTAGGCCTGGCAGCCCCTTCCCAGCTCCTGGCTGGGGGATTGGAAGGGTGTTTCAGGAAACAGTCTGGTGCAAAGTGAGCCAAAACCAAAAAACCAAACCCGTTGCTGTCAAGTTGATTCCGACTCATAGCGACCCTATAGGACAGAGTAGGACTGCCCCATAGGGTTTCCAAGGAGCAGCTGGTGGATTTGAACTGCCAATCTTTTGGTCAGCAGCCCCGTAGCTCTTAACCACTGCGCCACCAAGGCTCCAATAAACTGAGGCGGTGGGGGGGGGGCAGTTTTTCCCAACAAAGAAGCAAAGCCCCCAACAGGTTGCTAGAGAAAGTGGGGTGGGGCTGAGAGCTTTCCCATTACAGAGGAGCGGAGGTTGTGTGGGAGGGACCTGGGGGAGGGGAGGGAGAGGAGGACATTCCCCTCCCCTTCAGTCTTTCTAAACACAAGTAAGCAAGAAGCAACCGCTGGGTTTATTTCACCAAAGGAATCCTACACCCTGGAAAGGAGCAAGGAATTGGGAAACGTTTTACTAAGAAACAAAAGAGAAATGGGAGCTTCCAAGGAACTATTTGTGGGTTTGAAACAAGGAGGCCGGTGCCTGGGGAGAAGAGACAGCACAGGATCCGGAGCCAACAATCCCAGCGTGGCCACTTGGAGCTGTGCAATCTTGGACAAGCCTGTTTCCTCATCTCTAAAATGGAGAGACAAATACCCTCCCACCTACAGGTTTTCATGATAATTGGTGACGGTATACATTGTGCTGGGTACATAGTAGGCACACAAGAAATGGTAACATTACTATCATAAGCATGCGTGGCATCCACAGCCCTAAACAAACTTGTCGCCTCGTTTTCTGCGTTTTCACTGTGTGCACCACCACATCCCACAGTCCTCAGATACTCCGCAAATGTCCACACATTTGCTCATGCAGTTCCCTCTGCCTGGCCTACCGTTTCTGCCCTTCCCTGTCCAGGAAACTCCTATGGGTTAGAGCGCCCATTCATCTCCCAGGCCCAAACTCCACTTCCTGTATGACGCCTTGCTCAGAAACCATACAGGGAAACGAGTAGCTCTGCCCCCTAAAGTCACAGGAAGTTCCTAATATCTCTTCTTAGAATGTACTTGTCTGAGCCATGGCTGTGCCCACAATGCTGTAACAGACATGGGTGGACACCCGCGAGCATCACGCAGTCAGGGTGCCTCTGTCTCCAGCTCCTGGGTTAATCCTGCTGCTCTTAAACCAATTGCGGTGATCCCATCCCCTGCTTGTGACTGGTTAGAAAGACCATGTGACCTGTTCTGGCCAATGACTAGTGAGAGGAAGTCTTCAGGCTCAGCTGTCTTTGGGGACATGGGGGTGGAAGTCTCAGCAGCCTCTGCCCCACCAACAGGAGGAGCTGGACTTCATCTCGCTGCCTCAGACCTGGTACTCTGTGTCCCGAGGGCAGCCTTCCATGCCCACTAAGCCATAGCCCAGGTACGCTGACCAGTTCTATCCCATGGTTACAGTGGGGCCCCAAGTCCTAAACCCAGCTGGTGTTTCAGCCAGCCCAGTACTGTTTCCCCTTCCCCAGAGTTTCCTCATTCTCAGTGATCCCATCTCCAGCTCCAGAGGTGGGCATGTGACTCGTCCCTGGCCAATCAGAGCCTCCACCAGCACCGTCTCCTCCCCACAGCCAGTGACTGGCTCAGAGATTGGCACGTGATCCAAGCCAGTCTCATGGAGCATCAGCCCCAGGACTTCTATTGGGACTGTCAGGAAAGACAGGCTTGCTGCTGCTAGTGGGCATATTTGCCACTATGTGAGGGAAAAGCCTGCCTAAAAATGGTGCTAAGACAGAATAAAGCAGGGCCAAGAGATGAACAGATTCCTTAAACCTTATTTGTGCAACTGGATCCAGCCATGCCTGAAGGTAATTCAAGAAATAAGGTCTCACCCCTCTCTCCCCTCCAGCCCATGCCCCTGAGTTCTCAGCAGGCCTGGCACAGACCCAGGACCTGGGAAGGAGATTTGCTGACAACACGGAACCTGCCCCATTCTCTGACTCCTGTGCATCCCGACTGCTCTGTGAGCCTTCGCTATGGCACACATTTCATGCTCTCAACAGTCACATGGGGTGGGTACTCTTGTGATTCCCATGTTCCAGATGAGGAAACTGAGGCACAAAGAGATTACATGACATGCCTAAGATCATGCAGCTGGCAGAGCAGGTATAGGAGCCCAGCTCTGTGGAACTCTGGGGGCCAAGGTGTTCTGATACTGTTCCTCCATGGGAATGCAAGGAAGGTGGGTTTGGGACTTGGGGGCAAAACCTGGGTGGCAGGAAGTGACCTCCTTTCTCCTCCCTCAACTGCAACTAAAAGAGGTGGGGCCAAGCCATCCATTTACTTAAGAACCACCCCCTCACTTAAAGCACAACAATAAAAATTTTTTTAAAAAAGAGCACAGAAAAAGACCCCCCTCAAAAAAAAAATCCAAACCCAATGCCGTTGAGTCGATTCTGACTCATAGTGACCCTGTAGGACAGGGTAGAACCACCCCATAGGGTTTCCGAGGAGTGGCTGCTGGATTCATACTGCTGACCTTTTGATTAGCAGCTGTGCTCTTAATCACTGTGCCACCAGGGCTCCCTTTAATCAATTCCCCCGTTTTAAAAAAACTTCAATACATTTATTTTAAAAGGAACCATACTATCACTACTGTGAATGGAAAACAAGTATCACAGGCCACAGGTATCACATAAAAGTAAACGCAATGAAAAGCAAGCAATATCACTGAAATATGGCTGGAACTGCTTTATCAAGGAAGGTTCTGTACCTGAGGCCCCCCTCTCTCTTTTTTAAAAAGAGGGATTAGAAAACCTTTCAGCTCAATGAGACTGCCTCCTTGACCACCCAGGATCAAGAGGGAATCGATGTAGAATACCGTCTCGCTTTGTGGATCGGGTTATTTAGGTATGTAGTCCCACGTGTCCTAGTCTCTGGGAAGCACAGACATGGTCCAAAGCCCTTCCTTTAAAGATGAGGAACAGTGAGCAGAAATATGCTCACTTCATGTCACACTGGGAATTGGGGGCCCAGAGAGGTTGAGGGACTTGACTCAGGTCATAAAGCATAGCCAGGCTAGCAGCCAGGTCTCTGGTGACCACAGCCCTGCAGTGGTCCAGGTGTCCTATGAAGCACCAGGGCCTGTCCCCCACAAGCTCCTGTTCCAGAGCCTGACTTTCCACCTCCCTTCGAGGATTACCAAGACGGCGCAGAGAAACTCCCCGACGCGTCCACTTACATCCGAGGGGTCGTTTTCATTTGAGATGTTGACCAGGTATGTGAGCTCAGAGTACAGCAGATCCCCAGGAGCGTACGGGTGGGTCCACGTCAGCAGCAACATATCAGAGGCATTCTTGTGAACCATGAGGTTTCCTGGGGCTCTGGGTTTGACTGTGGGAGAAGCAGTGTCTGTGTGAGAGGCTTGGCCAGGTGATGGGAGGAGGCACAGCCCCTGTCCAGGACCTGGCCTCACAGAACCATGGGTCATTTACCTGTTTAGTCAACTAGCACCCAGATTTAGGGCCAACACAGAGAGTTACAACTGTAACACAGATTAAAATACTGCTAAAACTGTTCATAGTACTTCAGTCAGTGTTTATTATAAACTATCTTACTACAGTAAATGCAAAAAGTACAAGCCAAAGTCACCCAAACATCAGCTTATTCACTTTCATCCTTCACATCTTTGGCCACATCTGGGTACTGCGTGATTATGCACTAAGTTTTTTGTTTGTTTGTTTTACTTTGATAGATTCACCTTTTAAAACATTTAGTTTCTTTTTAAGTAATCGTATCTTTGAGGACATAAGTATATAATATGCATTAAAATCAATATACAAGTATAAAAGTTATTTTAAAGTTCATTCATGGGTCAATTTAAATAATCTTTCAACCATCAGCAGGTATACATAGAACCTTCAGGAAATGCTGATGGAGTGGTTAAGAGTGTGAGCTCTGTAGAGAGGCCTGGCTTTGAATATTGCTTCTGCTGCTTTGTAGCTGTGTGACCTTAGGCAGGTTACATGCCTTCTCTGAACTACAGTTTATTCAACTGTAAAATGGGAATACTAACTCTCTTCTGGAAGCTGAGGCTCCGAGAGGTAATGTGACAGCAATGAGTGGTGTTTTAAACTCTTGTCACTACACCCCAACCAACTTATGGGGAATTCCAACAGGCTCCAAGTACCAGGATAAGATCAGAATTCCATGGTCCAGACCATCCAAAGCAGCAGCAGCTGACCAGTCAACAGAGGGTGGAAGGAATGTCCCCAGCTCACTGTCTGATCTGCAGCAAGTGTGCCTTCAATCAAACATGCCTCATCTCAGTACCCCTCCCTGGGCACTTAATTCAGCAGGGTGAAGCATCTGAGCTGAAGGAAGCCTGATATATTGCTCAGCCCAACCCCACTTGGCAGATGGAAGGACTGAGGCCCAGAAAGGGGTAGGAAGCCCATCACATCTGGGAAAATGTAGTTCCTGCTGCTTGAAGCCCCTTCCCCATCTGCTGCCTGCTCGCCTTGTCCCAGAGCCCAGCCAGCTGTAAGAATACCTGCAGCCCCTGCCCCCAGCCCACCACCACTCACTATGATTGCTGGGCCGGAAGTGATCTTCCCATAGCAGCTGCTGCCCAGCCCACAGTCTCAGGGCATAGACGTCCACAGCGTATAAGAGCTCCGTTTGCATACTGCACACACACACCATGACTTCCTTGTTCTCGGGGACACATGTCCGGTTTCTGCATACACAAGATGCCTGTGTTAGGCTGGCCGCAACCCACAGTTGTCCGCAGGACATGCCTCAAGGACCCACTCGCTCTCCCAGCTTCCTGATCACCCTGATCTGGAGACTTAGGGGTGGTCAGGGTTTGGTGAACATCAAACTATGATTGCCTTCCTTACTGGTTACAGCCCTCACCACACTCACCAAGGATGCTCCTATGCCCCTTGCCACAGGCCCTGGTCCCTGGACTGAGCTTATCCCTGAAATCCAGTAAAAGAGAAGAACCCATGGCATGGTTCTCTACTGAAACTATTTATAACAACATATGTGTCTGTCCCAGGGCACCTGTGTAGCAGTTTCTCCCAGTGTACAGTGGACCATGGTGTATCTTGGCATCTGCCGATAAACACCTGCCCTGTGCACCACAGTATGATCCTAATAGACCACCTACAATAGCCAACCCCACATCTAGCCTAGGGGCTAGGCCAGGAGTCTGCAAACTTTTTCTATAAAGAGCCAGATAGTGAATATTTCAGGCTTTGCAAGACATACAGTCTCTGTCGCAACTACGCAACTCTGCCACTGTAGCACGAAGCAGCCATAGGCAATATGTAAGCAAATGAGCATGGGCTGTGTTCCAATAAAACTTTACTTACAAAAACAGGTGGTGGGCCAAATTTGGCCCATGGGCCATGGTTTGCTGTCCCCTGGTCTAGGCCAATGTAGCACACACAACAGCACAGCCCACCTACCTTAGTAGATCATGGAATAACACCTCTATCAGTGTACCCTGTCTACAGATGTGCTGTATACCCCAGTGTGCCCTATAACCTTGTGCCTTGTGTACCCAATTATGTCATGGGCACTATCTGCAACACAGTACCCCATGTACCATAGAATATCCCAGTGAAACACCTGGAACAATGTACCCCATGTTCCATGATCCATCAACTGTCACAGTGAACGCCACCTCTGTTCCCCCAGAACAACGGTCTCACTCCGTGGTCCTCAAAGTGAAGTCCAGGGGTCCACTATGTCAAACTTTTTTTCATAATAATACTAAGATGTTATTTGCGTTTTTCACCCTCTTTGTCTCATGAGTGTACAATGGAATTTTCCAGAAGCTCCATGATGTGGAACGATGTCATTGTTCTGATGGCTCATGGAATATGGGTTTGTGTGTTCTTGTGATTTAAAACTCCCCAGTTTTAATTTCTTTGTTTTTCTTTTTTTGTTATTTATTGTTGTAGTTTAAATGAAGTTTACATTTCAAGTTAGTCTCTCATACAAAAATTTATATATACATTGTTGTGTGACCCTAATTGCTCTCCCCATACTGTGACAGCACACTCCTCCTTTCCACCCTGATTCCCCATGTCCATTCAACCAGCTCCTAACCCTCTATTGCTTCCCATCTTACCTCTGGACAGAAGCTGCCCATTTAGTCTCTTGTATCTACTTGAGCTAAGAGGCACACTCCTCATGAGTATCACTTTATGTCCCACAGTCCAGTACAATCCCTGTCTGAAGAGTTGGCCTCAGAAACTGTTTTAGTTCTGGGCTAATAGAGAATCCGGGGGCCATGCTTTCCGGGGTTCCTCCAGTCTCATTCAGACCATTAAGCCCAGTTTTAATTTCTAATAGAGTAAACATCAATAGGTATAATTTACCTAAACAAAAGCTTTCCGGGTCCTCACTAATTTTAAGCGTGCAGAAGGGTCCTGAGACAAAACCACTTGAGAACTGCTGGTCTAGTCCAATGTTCTACCTGCATCCACGTCCACCCACAGTGGGTTCTGTGTCCTACCATATGTCCACCCCATGATGCCCCACCTCTAACCCCCTATCCAACAAGCTGCGGTGAACTGCATTCAGCATCACATCCTCCAGGGCACCACCTGGACCGGTCCTGTGGGGACCACCACCCAAACTCCCAGCTCCAGCACAGCTTACTCAGAGGGGTCAAGATTCTGCTGGTAAGACAGGAGCTCATAGGACAGGAGGAGCTCAGCGCTGCAGTTGGTGGGATCCGCCATCTTCCACTCACAGATGGAGGTGGTGGTATAGTCGGAGAAGCAGGTGGGCTTAGGCAGGACCTTAATGCTACCTGGGGAGACATAAGAGAGCTCTGGGCAGCTGTGAACCAACAAGCAAGGGGGACATGCCACCGAGGTAAGTCAGAAACCAGCCCAAACTGGACCAAGGGGACAGTCAAAAAAACAGCAAGACCACAGGCCCAGGCAATGTTGCATGCTAATTCCCACTGAGCTGGGGCAAGGACCAGGGCTCCCAGAGTTTGGAAGCCAGCTAGCACTGGGGGTATTCCTGAAGCTAAAGAAATACTCCTGGAGTGCAGAAGCCATTCAAGTGGAATGGAACCAAATGCACCTTTATCTTATGCAAACTCAACTACTTGCCCTCAGCCAAATTAAAGAAAAAATATATAACTGTTTAAGGAGTGCTCTTCTGTTACAGTTGGAGCCCTGGTGGTACAGTGGTTAAGGGCTCAGCTGCTAACCAAAAGACTGGCAGTTCGAATCCACCAACCACTCCTTGGAAACCCTATGGGGCAGTTCTACTCTGTCCTATAGGGTCGCTATGAGTCAGAATTGACTGGAGGGCTAAGGGTTTTGGTTATCCACTACAGCAAGAACCCAAGCACCTGCTCTGCAGCAGTGTGGGTGGGGGAGGGCTGTTACCAATGTCAGCTTCTGCGTCTGCTGGTTATTCTCCATTTGTCCCCCCCTCCCAATCTGTTCTCCACCCTTCCCTGCCCTCTCTGTGCCCAGGAGGCTGACCCACGGTCTCTGTCACCCAACTCCCTTGTCTTCTGGCTTCTGGTAAGAGAGGGAGATGGAAGGGCAGGAGGAGAGATTGGGGTATTTCTTCTTTCACCTCCCTCCCAGATAGTCAGGGGCAGAGCAGGGACTCGAACCAGCAGTCTATATATTGGGTTTGTGTCGAGCCAAGAGCATCTGAAAGTCGTGGCCCTCACTCTGGCCCAGTAGGAGCTTCTTGCTCCTGCGGAGCACACACTCATCACAAAAACCAAAGCCAAAACCAAACCCACTGCCGTCAAGTGGATTCTGACTCATAGCGACCCTACAGGACAGGGTATAACTGCCCCATAGGGTTTCCAAAGCTGTAATCTTCTTTTTGTGTGTGTGTGATTTAGGTGTGAAAGTTTACAGAGTAAATTAGTTTCTCATTCAAAAATTTATACACAAATTGTTTCGCGGCATTGGCTGCAATCCCTCATTGTGTCAGCACTCCTTCCCCTTCCCTTTCCACCCAGGTTCACCGTGTCCATTCGTCCAGTTTCCCTGTCCCCTCCCACCTTCTTGTCTTTGCTTCTGGGCAAGTGTTGCTCATTTTATCTCATATACTTGACTAATCTAAGAAGCACTGTTTGTCTTATAAACCAAACCCATTGCCGTTGAGTCGACTCCGACTCATAGCAACCCTATAGGACAGAGTAGGACTGCCTCATAGGGTTTCCAAGGAGCAGCTGGGGGATTTGAACTGCCAACCTTTTGCTTAGCAGCTGAGTTCTTAACCACTGTGCCACCAGTGCTCCTGTGTGTCGTATAGGCCTGCCTAATCTTTGGCTGAAAGGTGAACTTCAGGACTGGCTTCATTCCTGAGTTAGAAGGGTATGGGCGGGTGGGCGGGGGAAGGCTGTAATCCTTACGGAAGCAGACTTCCACATCTTTCTCCCGCAGAGTGGCTGGTGGTCTTGAACTGCCGACTTTTTGGTTGGCAGCCGAGCACTTAAGCACTGCACCACCAGGCTCCTTCCTGCCCATCACAGCTTATATTAATTTGCATTGGTTCAATGGCTAAAGGGCTCATTGTGGCAAGGTGACCTCTTAGGTGTCTAATAAACATCTCAAACTTATCTCAGATCCAAAACAAACTCCTGCTTTCCCTCCCCACCCAAACGCCTGCTCCACCCACAGCCTTCTGCATCTGCATTCTTCTCACTCAGATCAGAAATCTTGGGGTCACCTTTGACACTTCTCTCTCGCTCACCCCAATTCCAACTGGTCTTCAAATCTCCCTTCCAAATGGGCCCAGAAGTCAATCCCCTCTCACCTCCTCCATGGTCTGAGCCACAATGTCCCCCAGCCTGGCTTACCACAGTGCCACCTCCCTGGCCTCCCACCTCCACCCTGTTCTGTTCTCCACACAGCAGCTGAGGGATCTTTTCCCCTCCTGCACTCACCCTCCCCCACCACACTGGCCTCCCTGCTATTCCTGGAACACTCCAGATGTGCCTTTGCCGCAAAGCCTCTGCCTAGAATGCTCCTCCCACAGGAACCACCTGGAACTGCCCTGGCTCCCTCAGTATCTGCAGCGCTCCTCCCCTCAAGCCTTTGCTCAAATGTCACCTCAAGGAGGCCTTTCCCGACAATCCTGTTTTAAAGCATAATGCCCCCCAACCAACCCTACGTTCCCAATAGTCCCAGCTGCCGTTCCCAATCGTCCCAGCTGCCGTGGAGTCGACTCTGACTGAAGGTGACCCCATGTGTGTCAGAGTAGAACTGTGCTCTACAGGGTTTTCAATGGGTGATTTTTCAGAAGTAGATCACCACGCCTTTCTTCGGAGGTGCCTCTGGGTGGGCTCAAACCTCCAACCTTTCCGTTAGCAGCTGAGCACTTAACCATCTGCACCACCCGGGACTCCAGCAATACTCCCTAAATCTGTTCTAAATAGTCTTTTTTCCATAGCACCCTTCACCTTCTAACGGCCCTTAGAATTTGCTTCTATTAGGGCCCTCTGTCATTGTCTGCGGAGCCCTGGTGGTGCAGTGGTTAAGAGCTCAGCTGCTAACTAGAAGGTTGGCAGTTCAAATCCACCAGCCGCTCCTTGGAAACCCTATCGGGCTGTTCTACTCTGTCCTCTAGTGTCGCTATGAGCCGGAATCGACTCAGCGGCAGTGGGTTTGGCTTTGGTTTGGTCATTGTCTGTCTCCTCCCACTGCAGTGTAATCTCCTCAAAGGTAGCCATCTTCATTTTGTTCAGCGACCTATCCCAAGTGCCTGGCCCATAGTTGGCAGCCAACAAACATTTGCTGAATGAATGAGTGAAAGGTGGTGACTTACCAGAGCCTGCTGCCCACACCAGGATCAGGCAGCTCATGGGGAACATGAGTCCAGAGCAAAGCCACCCCATTGGGAGATCCTAAGACACCTGCTGTGAGAAAGAAAGCCCGGTTAGTGCCAGACCGGTTCCCACCATGTCCGCCATCCTCTGTGGAGCTCTCAGAGCTGACCTCACCACCCAGGCCATCTACGTCTGTACCAACAATGAGCCCCTCCCTCTTCACTGGAGCGCTGTTTATAATCATGAAACATAACCCAGATCCCAGAATGTGGAACATGGAATACCTGTCCTCAGAGATGCTTCCTGAAGAAAATCCCACGGACTACTTATGTTTGAGAAATTCCCCAGACTTCTGGAAGTTCATAACGCACATTTGCATGTAAAGGTTCTGATAAGTCCTGCAGTAAAGAAATTTATTTTTTTTATTTAACCTAATGATTACCAAATTTACTCATACCCTCCCTTCATTTTTTTTTCCCCTGGGAAAAAAACCAATTAATTCTCTGCAGGGTTTACAATTTTTTGAAATATATTTTGGAAATTCTGACCTAACTGTTCAGCCTTACCAGTTACCAATTGCTGGATTCTGACTCATGGTGAACCCATGTGTGTCAGAGTAGAACTGTGCTCCACAGGGTTTTCAATGGCTGATTTTTCGGAAGCAGATCGCCAGGTCTTTCTTCTGAGGTACCTCTGGGTAGACTCGAACCTCCAACCTTTCGGTTAGCAGCTAAGCACATTAACCGTTTGCACCACCCAGGGACTCCATTCAGCCTTACAGAGCTGGTTATACAAATTATGGGCGCAGTGGTTAAGAGCTCAGCTGCTAATGAAAAGGTCAGCAGTTCGAATCCACTAGCTGCTCCTTGGAAATCCTGTGGGGCAGTTCTACTCTGTCCTGTAAGGTTGCTATGAGTCAGAATTAACTCGACCATGACGAGTTTGGTTTTTTAATTTGGATCCACACGATGAAGTATTAGACAATCACTAAAAATGCTGCTGAGGGTCTAAGACTAATCACATCAACGGCCCCAGTTCCTCACCCCTTCCTGTATCTATGTAACTGCAGTGCCCCCACCACCACCCCTGCCCTTGGACTCTGGACTCAACCATGTGACTTGCTTTGGCCAACAAAATATTAGCAACAATAAAGCAAGCAGAGGCTTGAGAAAGTATTTTTTAGTTTTTGCTTGAGCTTTTGCACCTTGACCATCACCTTTGAGAACATGGCGAAGCTAGCCTGTTGGAGAAGGATGATTTGTGGAGTAGAGCCAAGGCAACACCATAATCTCAGTCAAGGCACCAGGCAGCCAACACCCGGTCATGTGAGTGAGCTCAAGCAAGATCAGCAGAGCTGCTTAGCCGACCTGCAGCTGAGTGCAGATGCATGCATGAGCCCAGCCAAGATCAGCCAACCCCAGGTAAGCTGGGGCCTGCAAACTCAGGAGCTACATCAATATCTGTTGTCACATGCCAGGGAGGTTTTGGGGTTGTTTGTTACACAGTGTTACTGTTTTCTTCTCCGGTCATTACCCCAGCCACCAGCACCCTGACTCTTAACCCCCTAATTGCCTGTGCTGTTTTGTAGTTTATATAAACGGAATTGTATATCACCCTATTGTGTTAATGACACCCAATAATATATAATTAAGGAATAAAAATTAGAGGGGACAGCCACACAAAAAGAAAACACAATTTAAATTCCCCCCAAATTCACAAGGCCCAGCAATAACTTCATTTAATATCTCTTTTCATATTTGTATATAAAAATAGTAAGATAAATATGTATTTTATTTACCTAAAGAACAGCACCCTTTACATACTGAAATTTAAATTTTAAACTTAATATATCATTAATATCTTTCCATGCCACTAAATTCAAATCCAAAGCATCAAAATTTAATAGCATTCCACTGTAGGTTGACCGCTGGATATTTAAGTTTTGTTATTGTTATTATCATTATTATTTTGCTAGCGCTCTTTCCAAGGGCTCTCCCTTGGAAAACCATCTCTACATATTTCTGTGATTACTTCCTGAAGTTTAAACACCTGCTCTATCACTTACTAGCAGTGACCTTGAGCAAGCTACTTCACTCCTCTGTGCCTCAGTTTCCTCATCTGTCAAGTAAGGATAGTAAAAGTGGGGTTTTGTGAGGATTAAATAAACTAACCCATGTGGAGCCCTGGAAACAATGAAAAGAGAAAAGACTCAAGCAATGTTTCCGGTTACCATCATTAAGAAAAATCCTCAGAAGCTGAATCCGATGGTGTCAACAAGTGTGCACGTTTTCCCCCGAACTCCTGATACCCAAACCAAACCCGTAGCTGTCGAGTCGACTCCGACTCATAGTGACCCCATAGTACAGAGTAGAACTGCCTCATAGAGTTTCCAAGGAGTGCCTGGTGGATTCGAACTGCCGACTTTTGGTTAGCAGCTGTAGCACTTAACCACTACGCCACCAGGGCTTCCACACTCCTGATACACAATGCCAAATTCCCTCCAAAAAACAATGTACCAGGTTATATCTCCCAGCAATGCTGAGAGGGTCCGCCCACCGCCCCCCTGGGTCTCTACCCGGGGGCTCATTCAGAAAAGCGATCCAGCCTGGTGGCAAGAGCACAGACTCAACCTCAGACACCCAGGCCTCCTTCTGCCACTTGGGAGCTGGGTGACATTACAAGAGTTACTCTGTCTTTCTGAGCTTTGCTTCTTTTTCTGTAACATGGGAATGATATCAGAATTAACCTCAGAGATTCACCGGGAAGATTAAATGAGGTACTAGAAGAAAAGCACTTTCTCAGTGCCCAGAACACAGTAAGGGCTGAACACCTCGTCAAGGCCCCCAGCCCCTGTTGAGAGTGACTTCGTCCCACCTGCACCAACATCCAAAAGGTCCTACCCAGCAAGGCCTGCCTCCCTCTCTGGCCTCGGGCCCACCACCTGCTGCCCTGAAAACATACCCAACTCATTTCCACCTGGGGCCTTCCTCTCCCTGCTCTTCTTCCCAAGTAGCCTTCCTCCTTTTCCTTCTCTTTCCCCTTCCCTTCCCTTCATTCTCTCTCTATTTTTTCCTGAACCTTGAAGATTTAGGAATAAACTATCCCTCAATACTTCAGTGTACATTTTATAAAAATAAGGACATTCACCTACATAATCACAATTAAAAAAACAAACGAACAAAACAACCAAACCTGTTGCCATCGAGTCAATTCTGACTCATAGAGACCCTATAGGACAGAGCAGAACTGCCCCATAGGGTTTCCAAGGAGCGGCTGGTGGAGTCAAACTGCCGACCTTTTGGTTAGCAGCTAGGCTCTTAACCACTGCATCGCCAGGGCTCCATCTAACCACAATACAACCATCAAAATCAGGAAGATAACGTAAATGCACCACTGCCATCTACTCCGCAGACCCTGCTTAAAGTTTGGTAACTGCCTCAGTTATGCCCTTTATAAGCTCTGGAGCCAATCCAGAAGCATGCGCTGCACCTGATTATCATGTTGTCCTGGCACCAGGTCTTGGCTTCTATATGCCGTTCTGCACTGAAAGGAAAGACAGCTCCTTGCAGAAATGGCTGATTCCTGGAGCAAGGGAAGTACAAGAAAAGCCTGCTGGTGTTCTGGTGCCAGAAAGCAGGGGAGTACTCAAAGAATGATGGGGACATGTGAAAAAGGCAGGAGCTAGCTTGAGGTGCGCACTGGCTAACATGGGGACAATCTGAGCATCAAAGTAAATATCAGAGTAACCAACTGTAACCCTTGGAGTAAAATAGGAACCCAGAGTCTGTACGGATGTTCTTGGGTGCCATCGAGTTGATTCTGACTCATATCGACCCATGTGACAGAGTAGAACCGCCCCACAGGGTTTCCTAGGCAGTAATCTTTTTTTTTTTAATTGTACTCTAGATGAAGGTTTACAGAACAAACTAGCTTCTCATTAAACAGTTAGTAGACATATTGTTTTGTGACAATGGTTAACAACCCCATGGCATGTCAACGCTCTCGACCGTGGGTTCCCTATTACCAGCTTTCCTGTTCCCTCCTGCCTTCTAGTCCTTGCCCCTGGGCTGCTGTGCCCATTTAGTCTCATTTTGTTTTATGGGCCTGTCTAATCTTTGGCTGAAGGGTGAATCTCAGGAGTGGCTTCAGTACTGAGCTAAAAGGGTGTCTGGGGGCCATACTCTCGGAGTTTCTCCAGTCTCTGTTAGACCAGTAAGTCTGGTCTTTTTTGTGTGTGTTAGAATTTTGTTCTACATTTTTCTCCAGCTCTGTCCAGGACCCTATGTTGTGATCCCCTTCAGAGCAGTCGGTGGTGGTAGCCGGGCACCATCTAGTTGGGCTGGACTCAGTCTGGTGGAGGCCATGGTAGTTGTAGTCCATTAGTCCTTTGGACTAATCTTTCCCTTGTATCTTTAATTTTCTTCATTCTCCCTTGCTCCCGAAGAGGTGAGACCAGTGGAGGATCTTAGATGGCTGCTCACAGGTTTTAAGACCCCAGACACTACTCCCCAAAGCAGAACGTAGAACATTTTCTTTATAAACTATGTTATGCCAATTAAGCTAGATGTTTCCTGACATCATGGTCCCCACAGCCCTCAGCCCAGTAATTCGGTCCCTCAGGGAGTTTGGATGTGTCTATGGAGCTTCCATGACCTTGCTTAGGCAGTAATCTTTACAGGAGCAGATTGCCAGGTCTTTCTTCCCAGAGCCACTGGTGGGTTCGAAACGCCAACCTTTTGGTTAGCAGCCAAGCACTTAACCACTGTGCCATGAGGGTTCCTTTCTGTGCTGATAGAGAATAGTAAATGGGGGAGAAGGGAAAGCTTCACACCACAGCAGCTTCAAAGTATCTCCCTGCAAAACTCATATCAACTATTTATTAATTAATGAGTCAAAAAGCCAGAAAACCAAACCAAAGCCATTGCCGTCCAGTCGATTCTGACTCATGGCAACTCAATGTGTAACAGAGTAGAACTGCTCCATAGGGTTTTCTGGGCTGTAATGTTTATGGAAGCAGATCGCCAGGCCTTTCCTCTGTGGTGCTGCTGGGCAGGTTTGAACCACCAACCTGTAGGCTAGTAGACGCGCACAAATTGTTTGTGCCAACCATTAACTTCATAATAGGGAAACACAGCAGACACCACCCTAACCAAGTCATCAAAGTTAACATTGCCAGGAACGAGACAAATGAATACCATGAGCTCTCTGCAATGATGCTCTGAGAAGAACACAGCCTCACTTCTCTGGGGTTCCTGCCCAAAACACACAAATCGTGTGGAAACGTCAGACCAGCCTAAGAGGGCACGCTGTGAAGGAACTGGCCTATACTTTTCAAAATGCCCCGGGTGCAAAAGACAGAAAAATGTGGGGGACTGCTTCTTTTTAATTGTCATCCCAA